TATATATATATATAGAGAGAGAGAGAGAGAGAGAGAGAGAGAGAGAAATACACACATATTTCGTATTAATTCCAAAATTATTAGAAATAAAACGTGTTTTTCACATATCAACATCAGACCGTTTCTACTAAGCTTTATTGTGCTTTTACGTTGTAAAAATAACTTATACATTAAGCTGTGACTCTTTCGACAGTCGGTCTCGTGCGTTAATCAGCGTTGATGACCGTCGGTGAGACGCACATATAATTACTGCAAGAAAATTATTTATAGTCATTCAACACGATCATGTAGGAACAAAAGAGCACGAAAAATTTGGAATACACAGCTACGCTTTCTCTTCCGAGTTGACGTAAGTCACAGCACCCGATCGTCCAATCTCAATTTAAGTCGAAAAGTTCGGAATCCTTCCAGCTTGATGACTGCTAACGTGTAACGGATAGCTCAGGGTTGTCGAATCACGATATATAAAATTTTATAAGTTGAAAAATAAAAGCCTGCATATGTGCCGCATTTAATGACGGGATGCCATATGTATATAAACACATCGTTAGTTCTAATAAATAATATTTATTAATATATCAATATACGATAAAGATATACAAAAATAATTAAAGCTAAACCATCGATTATAAGTTTATTTAGAAATAGTAATATCAATTGGATTTTACATATATATTCCGTATTCATTCGAAATGATGACAAATGTAATATAATTATGTACGTACGAAATATCCGCATTCTTTCGAAAAACGTTGGTCAACTATGACTGGAAAAATCAATCACGTTTGAAAAATACTTGCAATACCGTTAAATATCGAAGACTCGATAATGAGAATGTTTATCTCATCATTCGAAAGTTGGGATCACGGCCGCAGCCGAACAACAGGTGTCTCTTCAAGTTACCGGGTTTCGTGTAACTCACGTCACAATGCGGACAATTGTACGTAGGAAAGGATAGGATAGTCTCCACGTTCCATCGTGCGTTCGGGCGCGCTCTTTCTCGCGCACCGTGATGCTGCGATCGATGCTGCCGCAGAGACTGCTCGGTGGAGAAATCGAGATTGCATCGTTTGCACCTGTAGGTATAGACTGTCACCTTCATCAGCTCGGTGCCTGGAACGGAGAGAAACAAGAGTATTGGTCAACCGAGGTTGACGGTAACAGAGAGAAAGAAGGCAGAGAGCTTACATGTTCGATATAATGACTTGATCGTTAGAAGAAGAACAGAGGAATCACGGGCGAATAAAAGTAGAAGTTTACGTGATACGTACACCTTAAATGTAATTAATTTATTCGTTAAATAACTCGGGATGATCTTTCCTTAATAAAAATTTATCGGGCGATTACAAGCACACAATTTGACGAGTACTATTCTTAACAAAAGATAAACAGATAAAAGAACAAAAGATAAAGAAGGAATCTTCATCAAATTAAAATAAAATTTTATTATCTGTTTACATTATCATACAGCTCATTCGCCGACAGACGATAATAATATCTCCGAAATCGCCATTAAATTTCTATTAAGAAAAAATCTACACCGAATATACTAAGCGTCGGGTATACACGATTCAACGACATAATATTCGATTTTTAAATGCATCTAACCTTGTGTAACCTGACAAATGCTGATAATACTGTAAAATCGACATATACGTCTCCGGTCTTCTATCGTTATCAATATAACGAATTTCTTTGTATGATGCACGCATAAAAATCACTATGATGAAACTAACGAAATGTATTGGAATTTTACTCACGACCCTTTACACAAGATCGTACATGGAAGTGTACACAAAAATTTCAATTATTGGCACGCATAAAAAAACGAAATAATAAAAATTATACGCAAAGTAGAAAACCAATAGAAAATAAATAACATGCACAAACCAAAATTATAATGACGTAATACAACGCTAAAGCACAATCTGGATGAAATCGCTTGTGTTTCTTCCTACGTATATATTTATTATATCATATCCATAATATTGTTGAAAATAAAATTTAATCGCGGGCAATATGCAATATTCACTGATCAAGCGACACATTGAAACACACCGAATATCCACAACAAAACTTGGTAATTTATATAGAACCACGCCAAATAAAATTGAATGTTTCGCATATAAGAATTTTTCCACTGCATCAGGGAGAAACAAAGACCATCGCGTTATTGATCGTTGAACTGACAAAATCAAGGGACACGCGGGGGTCGAACAAAAATGATATTAATCTTGCTTCCTCTTAGAAACTTAGAATGGTGATATTTCGCAACTTAATCGAAAGAAAGAAAGAAAAAAGGATAAATAATGAAGATCAAATCAAAATGAATATCCTTCCGATCAAACGTTAATCGCCGCGGGACGAAAACAGACAAGATAGAAGAGACGCTTCGTTCTCGATCTAATCGAAATCGTCGCTGGTATCGTCCACGAAGAGTTCATCCAGCGGTTCTTCTTTCTCCTGCTTTATATTACGACTATGATCGCGTTTTTTGTTCACACAGAAAAACCGCTTGTGACGATCCGGCACGAAACTTCCTTTCATGGTCGTGAAGCAATCCTTACACGTGACCAATTTCTGACACTCATGCCTCTGATGATAGCGCAGACTTTTCGATTCTCTGTAGTTGCGACCGCACTGATCGCATCTGTACAAACCACGATTTATATTGGCCTTCGATTGCGGATTCGACAGGCAGGTAATCGTCATATGCCTGACCAGACTGCCGCGATGCTCGAAAAGGTCGCTGCAGAACTGGCACTTGTGTATCTGGGCCTTTTGGTTGCGCGCGACGTCCTTCGAGTTCATCCAGGAGTTCTCGTTATCGCTGGCATCGGTGCTGTCACTCAGAGAAATGATCTCGGTCTGCTTGGTACTCGTCGAAGGCTGGGACTTGTCTCGTCTCTTCATTCCCCCGCTACTCGTCGAAGGCTGGCAATCTCGCGTCTTCGTTCCCGCGGTACTCGTTGAAGGTTTAGGCTTTCCTTTCCTCGTCTCCGGGACGTCTGTGGATATCATGCCCCTCTTCTTCGTTTGCGCGGTGTTCATCATGACAGATTTATCATTAACGAGATTACCGCTGCTTTCTCCCGCTGCTCCTTCTTCCCTTCCTTCTTCTGGTACCCCCCTCGTGCGTTTGCTCGTTCTTTTACTCCACGATTCTTCTGTAACACAATGGCGAACGTACGTTTTAGGCGGGAAACGACGGCGAAGCTGATGGACAAGGTTAGATACAGACGGGAGGGACCATATATGTAATACTACTATATTGCTATAGCCGCCTTATGCTGCCTGTAAGAGTCATCTCAGAACCGAAGGACAGACGATGTCCGATACGTGTATTTTGACNAGAGTCATCTCAGAACCGAAGGACAGACGATGTCCGATACGTGTATTTTGACCGTAGTGCGCAAACGCGGCGATCAGATGATGATGATATATATATATATATAATAATTTAATATATATATATATACATATATATTAAAATATATTTTAATTTTCTATTAGCGGAGACGCGATCAATCTAATCCACGCATGCGCATTACGTTCACAATACGCTCAGAAAGAGAGGAAAATACATGTTCCCTGATATTATGTCCACACCGTAGTTCCAAGACAGGACACTTCTCTCTAATTTAGCAATATAGTAATATTACATATTACATGGAAAGAGACTCTCGCAGCTGGTCAACGTTGTGTTAACTCAAGTGGAAAAAAGAAAGAAGAAATAAAACACGCGTGAGATAAGAACAAAAGCCGCATGCAAGCCCATCCTAGTCGCAAGCAGTAACGGATAATGGAATATGAGAAGGAGACGTAAGATCAACAATTACGTGGTTTCTAAGAAAATGCAAAACGGTCCCTGTCGGAACGGTTTGCCATTGTTTAGTAATGTGTAAATTCGCGCAACGGGCGTCATGTGCGTATTGTCGTCACAAAAAACGTGCTATGAGGGAGAGCAGGAAAAAGGGCGTGGAAAATATTTGTAAAAAAAAAAGAAAACATGAAAAACTCAGAACGAATGGTTCGAATATGATTGTTTAGCTATGAAGAAAAATTCGCACATAAATTAATATATTTCCTCTCTCGCGTGGCCCGTCACGCTCATCCATCTCATCAATCTCCGCTGTCGAATAAACATCGCGTCGCTCTGTCTGGTTAGGAACAACGAATCTGAAAATAGAGGAAAAATCAGCAAGGATGCCGTCGGATAGGTCGTGAATATCGCAAGTTACCGAATCGCTTATACGAGCCGACAGGATACGACAACGAAGAAGGAACGATTCGGAAGCGATGTCCAAAGGGGCGAAAAACTACGTCGAACACTGGATGAAAACGCGACATAATGGAACTATACGTACAGTCATGTACGCTGTATCATTTCCTAAATTGAAACTTTTTTAACGTTGCATCATTTCGCTGTATCATTTCCTAAATTGAAACTTTTTTAACGTTACAAAATTTTTCGTCGGTCACATGTACGCATAGGTCGAAATCGTCATAATTAGAGCCATTGTAACCCTCTACCATTAGGGAAACCCGGGGACAAGACGGAGTCGCGGAATAAGATAAAAAACGTTACATAGAAATAACTATAGACTTGCACGTAGAAGAGAGAGAGGCGAGTCAACGTGTTTATCTGTAAAGAACAATAGCAGGAGCTATACATGTCGCAAGTCCGAACGAGTTTGCAAAAACCAATAAGCCTGATGTAATTTTATAAATTGTTTGATGCCGTGTCAGATAACTTGTATTCGTAGTACGATACTAAAAGAGGTAAGTAAACCACATGTAACATGTTATATTTTATCGTAGATTAGTATTTGTATCAATTCAATTCCGTTATTATTCTACAAAACATACGTAGTTTCACATCTACCGCTCGGGGCAAGAAGGAATCAACTGAATGAGGCAAAATGAAGATGTTCTTATATTATTTTAATAATTTTCATTATTGCCAGATATCACATTTTTAAATAATTTTGTGTCGCTTTGTCGATGTTATTTAGTGCATGTATGTAGAGGTCTGTGCTCAGTCTGTGGAAAACTGTGTAGCTGGTCAAATTTATCAGCATTGAACACGCGAATCTTGTGTAGGGTTTGACATAAAAGGAAAAAACAATAATATTTATTCATGATTTACGTGTCAATAAAAGGACCGAAATCATATTATCTTCAATCATTTCATCTTATCCTCAACATTATTTCATCTTATCCCAGAGTAAGATGAAGACCGAATTTTTTTTATAGGTTTTTTCTATTCTTTATTTCTTTTAGTCTCAATTTGGTCATATAACGTTAAAGTTTAATTAATGTTGATTATATAAAAAAATATAGAAAAAAATTGTAATAAAAATTTCAATTGAGATTGTTTCATTTTTATTAAGCCTTTCTCCCAACGTTCTCGTTTTATCCCGAGTTCCTTTGTAATTAATTACTTTTGCAATTTTCAATTCGTACACATTATGCGAAAATCGTACAACTTTCCATCTAGAGAATGGTATAGTATACATGATGCCGACTATACACTGCCGTGAAAGTTTGGACGTTTCTTTAAGTGGGGTCGAAAATAAAATCACGATCTTCGCTTCACAAATATTCGAGTATAATTTATGTACATTTTCGTCGTAACGTATCACAATTAATCCTTTGATTTGGTACTTCGATTACTTTATGGACAATACGCGCAGTTTCGAGAGTCCATTAGACCTTAGTCTGTCGACAGAAAGACTACTCGGTGGAAAGGCTCGACGTTCCGGAGAACGTCGACATTACGCGTGATATCCTCGACCACGAAAGATCATGAAGATTCTTTTACAGAGAGTACGAATGACTCCGGGAGGATTCCATTTATCTCTCGTCCCGGTTTCGCGACCGGCGTAGAGTCATGTTTTCCTACTTAAATTCCAACAAAATTCATTTGTCGCAACTGATCGATTTACAGTATTCAATACGTTAACTATCGAACCGTTATTAAAATTTCCATTAAAAACGAGTTGGTTCGAGTTAAAACTAATCGGCGAAGGCAACGTTTCTACAGAAAAGAAACATCGGGAAACATCTTCGAGAAACTTGATTCGCTCAGATCAGAAATTCTTCAGCTCGCGACGGTAGTGCTCTGTCAATTCCGACTATCCGTGCACCCGAGTCTTTCAGTAACTGAGTAGACACGGCTAATTTCAGACATTATTACAAATTATTAATTTTTCCTACGATATCAGATAATAATAACGTCTGAAATTAGCCGTGTCTACTCAGTTACTGAATGACTCGGTTGACAACACTACTCGACGGCGCGCTTGCTAACACGAGAACTTCGCAGTTTCTACAGTTCGGTCTCTAGAGTTTGCCGCCTCAGAAGCGCGGCATGTTGAAACATGATGTCCCCTCAGATACTAACGACGAGGAAGGTAACTGCGCGAACCGTTTTCGAAAGCTCCGGTTTTTTCAAGCGGGAGCTTGGAAAGACGCAGTTGCAAAGTCCGTGGAATGCGCGCATTAACAGAGCTGGGGGTGACACGAGGCTCTCTGACGATGCCTGCGCAGGCTGCTGCTGTGCAGGAAGGTCTTGCCGCAGACGTTGCACTTCTGCGTACGACCGCACTCGTGCCTCACGTGGAAGATGAGATGCGACTGCTTGGCGTAGCAAGCGCCGCACTGCGTGCAGGAGAACGGCCTGATCTTCTGCAACTGGTGGCAGGTGGAGCGCGGGTTCCAGTAGCAGGAGCTTTTCTGGTGACTCTTCAAATGGCCGGACCGCGTGAAGCCCTTGCCGCAGTACTTGCACCTGTACTTTCGCTTGGCGCCTTCGCCACGTGTCGGATTGTTCGCGCCTAGCTCCAACTCTGCAACACGATTTATCGGCCCGTCAGTCGACGGCGTTTCACTCGTTGGATGAGAGCGGATGCAATAATCACGACGGTATTAAGAGAACCTCCTCGGGATCGGGATGAAAACAACCGTTTATTTATTATGTAGGCTTGCGAGTTATAAAAGTGTGTCCGGTGAGAAAATTCCGATTCTCGAATCACCTGTGATCTGGAATGATTCTGGCTAAATGGGGGGTCAACGTCGCGTTTCATCGGCCCCCTCTAAACTAAACATAATGTCCGTTATTTTCTGTTATTTTGTTAACGCCTTATAAGTTCTATAGGAAAAATAAAATACAACAAATTTTCTTTCCAAACGTGATCGTCCCGCATTTTATGACATTTGATAATTGATATGATAAGACCACATCGGTATGTAATCGAACTCATTCAGATCGCAAGTGATTCATCGGAGACTCATTAATGTAAACCGAAAAACATATCTCATGCGTATAAATAAAATAGAAGTATGGTAATTGGTAAAATAAGTTGGAAATATGTAACTTTAGCAGTTACGCGCGCGCTTGCAGCATTCGTCTACAATATACTCGCAATGAGAAAGAAAACAAGCACGGTATACTATTTGCTTTCGTATTAAATAATAGAAATTTAACACATAATTTGATACGATTGCACATACGTATAAACTGTGCCGGCATTGCGAGATATAAACAAACTTAACAATAACACTTAATACTAATCAAATATAATATACTGATGCATACATCGCTTTGACATTTTTTTCTTCGAATATGAAGCACCGTACTTGGCATAAAAGAAAATATTCAACTTCTTCGAGAAATAATGTTTAGAACTTTGATAACAACTGATAATTTTTAATAAAATTTGTAATTAGCGTAGTAAAAATAAACTAAATATGTTAGTCTTAGTATGACTAGATTCTCAATAATATAAATAAATTACATCATAAATTCTCGTAAATTAAATATTTTGAATGATTGATTTTATGCACATTATAAGTGTTTTAAGTAATCTCTGCTTTATGATAATCTTTTTTTGTTGCAGTACCGTAGTATACTGCAAAATTTCTTCTTATGCCGATAGTAACTGGCACAATAAGAAAGTTTAGATTTACAATGTTCACACTCATATGACCTTTGGTAGTCATTAGACTTATGTGATTTCAGAGTCCGTGGATTCTGAAAATATTTTCCGCAAGTGTTGCACTCATATATATGTTTCATTGTAATATGCCATTGTAAGATGTCACTCCTGTCAAAAGAACTCCCTAAATCTTTGTCTGTTTTGATTTTTTTCGCTTCTATGTCTGA